AAAATTTTGTATAAATTTATGAAAATTTGAGTATATTTATAAATTTTCTTAGAAAGTAAATCTAAAAGAAAATAAATCTGATATCAAAATTATCAATTTATTCAAACAGGAACATTGTTTCTACAAACATTTTTATTGGAATCGCTACCTCATGAAATTGATATAACCTTGAAATAAAAATTTGAATACAGTTGTAACACACCTAACATCAATTATAATAAATCCAATCTTCTGTTTAATTAAATTCGATAGTAAAATTCTAAAAGCTATATTTAAATAAAAAAAATAATACAGTATGCCTGGCAATACAAAGTCATTTTTCTGAATTTAAATTGCAAACATACGACATACTATTCAACAGTCCGATGGTCGAGCAGTTAAAGTGGCAGCCTACCCTTATAGGGAACTGTACGAGTTAAAAAAAACCGAGGAATTTTTTGAGGGTGATCCATTTTTGGGGATGATCGTTCCTCACAATCTGACCGTTCCATTGTAGATGTGGCCGAACTTATAATGGGCTCGTTAAAAAGAGCGCGTGTTAATTTCCACAGGGCGGAAAAAATTAAATAAATATATACACAAAGAAGTGTAGTTTTTTCCTTTTAAAACGATATTTTACAAAAGAAATGAAAAATATTTATTTTATTTATTTCTACATTATAAACATAACAATAGCAGTTTCTCAGATTTTAAGTTTTCACTATCGTTTCCATATTAATTTTACGATTTTTGATCGCCGTGTGGCGGGTCGATCGACCGGAAACGCGAATTTGTCGTGTGTGGAGCAATCGGGACGACGTTATATTTATTGTAAAAATGTTTTATTCTTGCTAATAAATATAATGTCGTAGAATGAGAAGTAAAACATTGCAGCTATGAGCGAAGAGAAGAAATCAGTGGAAGAAAAAAAATATTCGCAATTATGTCGAGAAAATATTAAAATGTTTGCCGAAACAGTTGGTTATAGCGATTTGCCCGATTGTGTCGCCTCTTGTCTGGCTGAAGATGTTAATTACAGACTGAGAGAAACAATTCAGGTATCTTGTATGAAATTACATATTCCTAATTATAACTTCTAATGTTATTTTGTCTTTTTATAACTTAATTATGTTCTAGATGTAATTGTGTTTCTTGATGTTTTGACATAATTATAATAATAGCAATAATAATAAATCTCATTAGTCATCAGGTGGGGTGAGTTCAATAAACAAACAGTTAAGTAAACAAACCGATGATATAGTTAGTTTGGTATGAAACTGATTATGACATTGGTTTGCTTACGTATCTGCTTGTTTATTAAACTCTCCCCTTCTTGAGATGAGAGAGATAAATGTTGGATTGAGTTAGTGGTGTGTTATAGCTTTGTGGGCAGGGCCAGATGGCCGAGCGGTTGAGGTGGCAGCCTACTGCTCTGGGAACCAGGGATTGAATCTGGACGGGTCAAAAAATCCCCAGGAATTTTCGGGGGGGTGGTCCGTCTGGATATGTCGGGCCCTGTCTTGTCACCTGGTCGAGCCTGTAATGGACTTGCTAAGAGAGGTCCTCTTAGTGCCCACAGGGCAAAAGGAGTTAAAAAAATAATAACTTCATGGGCACTTGGGCAAATTTGAATTGGGGGTTCCGTGTACTGTACAGTGTTGACTTTGGACATTTTTCTTTGGTGAAGTATTTTCTTATAAAAGATTGGTTTGGGGCCCCTGCTGGTGGAGGCAATTGCTCTTTTTGCTTGTAGGGTAATGCACCACTGGGTTAAGTAATAAGTTGTCATTTTTTTTTATTGCTCAATTAAACATTTTTACAATAGCATTCAATTTTCTCAGAGAAGTGCAACTTTTGGAGTTTAAGTCATGTTACCAGTCTGTTAAGGTCCATTTACACACAGCAGTGACATGCCGGCACAGTGCAGTAAATTTTTGCCTGTGGGAAATCGTTGAACTAGTTTTAAACCAACCCGTCCAGACTCGTCCATCACAGTGTTGTGCAGTGGCAGTGGCGTGACCATACCATAAAAGTACATTTGACAGGAACAATATTTTCACTGACAGTAAATTTTGTTTTCCAATGGATGATGAACATTTAATTGAAATGGTGCATCAACACCCTGTTCTATTTGATTTATCTCATTCGAAATACATGGACATTGGGTACAAAATGAATATTTTCTCTGTTTTGTTTAATGAAATATGAAATGCATGTTGGGATATTCGAAAATATTTTAAAAATATAGATTCGTCATTTCAATTTTTTTATAAAGAGTATGAAACTCCCATTCTATTGATATTTTTTGTCCATGCTTGATGTACCGACTTGCTTGATTGCATTTCTTTTTCTTCTTCATCCAAACATATAGCTATCATAGCCAATTCATCCTCAGAAAAGTCCATGACCACTCACTGACAGCACGGTCACATCACTGTTGTGTGTAAATACTAGGGTTTCTCATTTCCTTTATTATAAAAATTTACAATAATATTTTGTACAGTATTTATATAATATTGTAATAATATTTTTATAATTTTGCTTGTCCCAGGATCCTGGGATAAAAGTGAACTGTTTCCTGGGACAAAATTAATTATTTTTAAGATATACAAAATATCTTGAAATCAAATGATATAATTATTTTTCATTTTTTAAAGTAATTTAATACATTCTGTAACCTCCAAAATCATATTAATAATGATGTGTAAGATATATAATAAAAATTACCTTTGAATTACATAGAAATTTTCACAAATAGAAAAAATTTATTAAAGTTTGCTGGAAACTGCATACAACAACAAGAATAAAAATGCTTTGAATTGAGTTGAAAATTAAAAAAAAACAAACTTAGATCAAACTTCTAACTTAGAAGGTAATTTTTGTTTTTTAAATAAAACATAATACAAAATATTATTGTAAATTTTTATAATAAAATTTTAAAAAACAAAGATGGTCAATACTCCAATCACTCAATCTGGTTCTTATTTTAGTAATGAAAAGCCCTGCTACCGAGAATGTCCTTTCTGATTTAATTGATGTTAGTGGAATTGTCTTTAATGCATTTAAGAGAAGACAGATGTTATGTGTTCTCTCATCTGTAGCCTGGAAGATTTCTAGTTTCTTTTCAAGATTGTAGTACTACTTTTGCTCTCTAGTATTCTTAATTTGTCTATCTTGACTGCTTTAATAGAAACATCATAGCCCAATAATTCGGCAGTCCGTTTGTCTTTAATAATCAGGTTATGAAGAAAAACTTCATACTTGCAGACTTCATACTTGTTTGTATTCTTGCCCAATTTGCACTATCTGGCATTATGCAGTTATTGAAGCTACTGGGCATGGTTAAAAATTAAGACAGCATAAGCACAATTATTCCAGATATTACAGGTAAAGAACTTTGAGAGTCCTGCCACAAATAAACTATGTAATGATTATTGACCATTTGTGACATGCCATAATGAGCAAAAATTAAAAGAAACTAATAAGTAGGTTTAAAATTAATAAATACAAATGTATTCTGACAGTTTATGAGTTAATTATGCTTTCTATTTGCAAAATTTCCTGAACCTTAACACAAAATGAGAAAAAAGTGAATTTTTAAGAAATTTGCAGGATTTTGTGGGATAAGGAAAATTTCCTGGGTTAAAAAAACAACCAGGATCCCAGAATCCTGTTTGAGAAACCCTAGTAAATACTCATCACTGTGCCATGCTCAACGTCACAGTCACTATGCTGGCATATCACTGTTATGTGTAAATAGACCCTTAAACTGATTTGAATAGTTTTGATTTTATTTTGTGAATGTTTTAGTCATCTGAAATGGAACCAGATGACATCGAAGCTACATTTTGCTTTTTTTTTTTTTTCAAAAGGTTTAAATGCAACTAAGGCAGCATCAGAAATTTGTGAAGTTTATGGTACTGACACTATAAAGAAGAGAGAAGCTCAATTTTGGTTTGCTAAGTTTCAAAAGGGAGATTTTAGCTTGAAAGGTGATGATCACTCTGATTGGCTGATCGTGGTCAATAGTGATGAACTAAAGGCTCTGGTTGAAGCCAATCCAAGAACTATCACAAGGTGAATTGGCTATAAAACTAAATGTAAGCCAAAAAACCACCTTAAAAGGCTTGGAAAAATTCCTAAGTTAGATGTGTGGATTACATGTGAGTTAATAGAAACTGATCTTACACAATTAAGTGTTGTTGAATTATTATTTGATCATCAAAAGAAAGATCCATTTTTAGATAGAGTAATTACTGGCTATGAAAAATGGATATTATACACTAATATTCAATGGAAATGAATCCAATAGAGTCCTCAATATCCATACCAAAAAGCGGACTGCATTCAAAAAAATTAATGTTGTAATATGGTGGGATGTGAAGGGAATAGTGTATTATGAACTACTAAATCCAAACCAAACCATAAATGCTAACATATATTGTGAACAATTAAATTGTTTAAACAAAGTATTAAAGGACAAAAGATCAGCACTAATAATTAGGCATTATACTGGCAAACTGCAAGAGCATTATACTGCATCATGACAATGCAAGACCACACGTTGCCAAAGTACCTCTAAAATAATAAGAGAATTACACTGGGAAGTTTTGCCTCATCTGCCATATTCTCCATATTTGGGCACCCCCAGATTATTATTTGTTTAGATCTTTACAGAATTATTTAAATAGAAAAGGGTTTTGAAAAGGGTGATGAAGTCAAAAATGCTATTGTGGAATATATTCCCCAACAATGACTTTTTCAAAACAGGAATTGAGAAATTGGTAGAAAGATGGAAACTTGATACAACAAAATGGATCATATATAATTGATTAATTGTTTGTATTTGTAAGTTAAATGAAAAGTTAAAAATGAACATAAAAAAAAACAATCACTTATTACTCAACCCAATAGTTCTAATGAACCATAGAGCAATGCTGACAGGAACATAAGCTTCTAAAAGAACAACCTATACCAGTAAGGTCTATAGAGAGAAATGAAACACAGTGTGTTTTGGAAGCAGCATCTTATCCAGAGTGGATGGATGCTGAACAGTATCTGTTCTCCAAGTTAGAGGTTGCTAATTTATAAATACCTGGCTTTAGGTATATAAGCATACTCATTTCTGTGGAGAAAAAAACAACATGGTTTTGACACATTCTCAGAATAATACTGGCTCAGACATGACCTGCGTTAACAGGATCTGTTTATGGATTAGGCAAAGGTTTGGGTTTGAAAAATCTGCTACACTCTCAGTAATCAGTGACAAATACAACACTGGCCCAAATATGGCTACTGCATCACAAATATATTCACCACCTCACTCACATGCAATGGACAGCATACACTAATCCTGCCAAAGTGCTTCACTGACTACCAAAGCTGGAAAACCAATTTAATGGATGAAGTGGACTCAAGACATGAATGAACTTATCATTTGTACATACTACACTGTTACAAAATTGAAAGTAAACTTAACAATATACAAACACTGAAAAATCTATACAAAACATTTACAAAATACTCATCAAAAACTCTCATTGTCACATAGCAAAGGATTATTTATCAGAAAAGAACAATTATACATAAGAATCTTATTCCACAAACAATGCTTGAATATCAAATAAATTGCACAACAGATATATTAGATCACATGGGAAAGTCAGATACTCATTGACCGAACCAAAACAGCACTCATTTATAAAAATGTACACAGCATAATTGTAAAGTACTATAATTAATTTTATCGGATTGCTCTACAACAATTCTTATAATCAGAGAGCCATTACCTAACGGGTACTTTACGCGGGTTCGCATTTGTTAGTTGCCAGGCCTGGACTTTTCGTGTGCACCGAAGTAAATTAAGGACAAGTTAGTCAAAATCAAAAAATCTTTAATAAAGATCTAGAAATACTATTTACAATATATACAACAATCAACAAATTTATTCAATCAAATCAAATCCAAAGTCAACCCGACAAAATTCTCAATCTTATTCTAACTTAGAACTATTCCCCTTGGAATTCCGACAATAATCAATCCTTAACTTAAGGTACAG